CCCGACCCCCACCCCCGCTTCCGCCCTGACTGGTTCTGGCTCAGCCTCACAAACCGGGCATGGTCATTACTTAACAGCATAGCTTAGATGTACCTACTCACCAATTTCTCTGACTGCCCTCTTTCCAGCACCTCAGACCCTGCTGTATGACAGCTTTTGTTCTTCCTAAAGAACTTCTCTGACGGGAATGTCAGGTGCATACCATGGGCCGCGAGTGCCGCCGCTCTTGGCTGGCATCAGACTGTTCTAGGTCACCCTCGTTTGAACGACCGCCGTCGGTCGGTCTGTCCATTCCTGCCGGCACTCGGGCTTTCCCGTCTGGGTATTTCTGCACCTGCTCTTTGTCTCCGCCGTGTGTGACCTCCCTGGGGCGTGTCTGAGCATGCGTGTCGGTTTATTTTCCCTGCTGGGAACACGCTGTCCTCAAGGAGTCACAGCACCACGTCTTCATCCACCCAGGAGGATCCTGTCCCAGCACCGCCTGCCGCGCCCCCTCCACAGATCCGGCCTCTCTCCCCGTCCTCCTTTCAGCCCGTGTCACCCTCTCCTCCCGGGTCTCTGCCGCACACTCGCGTCACTCTGCCTGGTCTCCTGTGAGCTGGGTCCAACGTGACGTCACATTCACCAGCACGAGCTGACAGTTCACTCTAACAATACTCTACAATTACAATTTTTATTTATGGGCGTTCTATCTGATTCTTTTGTCACCGTTTGCTAGTGTTTTGTCTAAATCTGCCGGATGTTTCTTGTCCTCCGACTATGAGTTCATATTTGCTTTGTCTTGATCTGTGAGATTCTTCGAGCCTAAAGTGGGAGGTATTTCCCCCAGACAAGCTGATCCCAAGGGGCACTGCTAACCTGCTCCAACCCAGCCACGGCTCCGGGTCCAGTTAAATCCGGTCCCCCCTGCAGCTGGTCCATCTGGGGCCGCTGGAAGGCAAGCTCGAGGTTCGGTGCCAGCCCCCCGCTCTCTGCTGAGGGGATGGGGCAGCACTAAGAGGTTCCCTTTACGTACTGTGCCCCCAGCCACGTGCTAACAAGCCAGCCTCATCCAGGACTGAGCTGTTTGGGAATGTTTTAACCTTACAATCCTGCTGCAGGTGGAGCCACAATTTAGTTTTTATTAATCAGTATTTGCCCTTTTGGTGTGTATTTCTCTTACCCAATTATACTCACGAGCAGCTCATTGTATGTTTCACACGACAGGATTTTTAATTCTCCCTCCCCCACCCCCACAAAAATCTTTTATCTGAAAGAGAAACCAAACCCTGGGAACTGAAGCTGTTGAGCATGTGAGGCAAGCTAAAGCTATGGGCCAGCTCGCCGGTCTCAGCCGAGGCCGCGGGAAGTCGCGGGCCTCCGAGCCTCCTTGGAGGTCTTCCCGCCTCTGCTCCCGAGCTGGGAGGCTAACGGAGACTCACCGTTTCCCAGGGGACATAAAATGGGTATTGTTTTCTCTTTACTATAAAAGAAACATGGTCTTAAGCTCAAAAACGTAAACAGCGCAAAGTCAGACATATACGTAAATAAATGTAAATAGTAGAAAGGAAAAGGAAAAAAACAAAAACCAAACAAGCAGTAAATAAGTAAAACATAACAATGCACAAAGTGGAAGCCCCTCGTTCCTCCAGTCCCTGGGTATTCGGTTTCCTGGTGACCCGGGGGACCCTCCAGGCACGACCAGCACACGCCGTCCTCAAAGAAACAGCAGTGTGCCCTGAACCTCGTTGTGCGCCCTCCCCTTTCGCTTAGAAATGTATTCTGCAGACGGCTCTGCGTCAGTAGGGAGACGCCCTCGCTGGTCGGGGCTGCGGGGTTCCGCGGCGCACTCACCGTCCTTGCGCCCCGCGAAGGGGGCACTATGGCGGCTGCCGGTTTGTGCTGATGTCCAAGTGGTAAAAGGAGAAGGTCTGTACGGACGGCACTTCTGTAGTGAGCACTCAGGCACGTTCGTATCTTGTGGGACAACGGTCCAGCCCCGGCAACCGTGAGCTTTGCTGTGGGGCGCTGGCGTCTCCGTCCCCCGGCAGGTGGGGACTGATTTTACACGCACACGCACACGCAGGTGCACGTCGGCCACAGACACACACGTCTACACGCGTATGTGAGATCAAAGCGGGCAAGGGTCCTTGTCCTTGACAGACAGGTGCTCGCACGCACCAGAGAGCGGACAGGCCACCCGCGGTTGGCTCGCGGCGCCCCGCTGCCCGGCTGGCAAACCGAGTTCATATCTGTCCTCAAATATCCAAGACCACGTTAACCATACAAAACTGCGTCCTCGGTGGGTCCAAGCGGTCGGCTGTCGGGATGTCATTCGGCTCAACCCCGTGGAGAGGCTGAGCATCCTCCGCGCGTCTGCCGGCCACCCCTGAGCAGCCCCTCCGTTCCCGCTTGGGGACCGCCAGCCGGGCCCCACCTGCCGCACACGTCATCGGGAGCATTCCCCACCCCAGGGGCCCCCGCCCGGCAGGGAGTGCAGGCCGGTCTGTTCGGGGTTCGGGTTCGTCTGGCACAAAGGACGTCCTTTCCCCCCTGCTGCCCAGCCCCCACCTCCCCGCACGCGCAGCGCGGGCAACACTCACGGCTCCACAGTGAGTAGGCGAGGCGGCAGTTGAGCCGGCGGTAAAGCTGCTTGTTCACCGGCCAGAGGACTAGCGTGCAGAGCTGGACGAAGTTGATGACCAGCCCGCTCACCACGAAGACGAACCCGATGAGCAGGTGCACCATGAACTGGGTCTTCAGGTAGGCGAGCAGGCCCATGGTCGCTACTCAGTAGCGAGTGCAAGGTCCTTCACTGAGAAGAGCCGTCCTGGAAAGGACAGGGACAGCAGTGAGGACGGGCGCCCGGGACCCCGGCCGCGGCATGCGGAGGACGACCCACGGGGCGCGCAGCAGAGCCCGCCAGCCAGCGGCTCACTCACGCCACTCTCTGCGGCCTTTCCTTCTGGAAGGGACATAAGCCACTCATATGTCACGCACACCGCCCCCCACACACTACACACTCTCACACACACCACGCACACACACCACATGCACACAAGAAAGGAAGAAAAAAACCTAAACGAATGCCCCCAAATATTACTAGTGATTGATTACCTCTAGGAAAAAGCATTACAGATAGTTTTTATTTTAGACGTTTTTTAGCATCATTTAAAAGATCAAACTGCACATGAAATCTCTATAGAACAGATCCATACTATCTCAACGATTTAATTCCCACACTTGGTGCACTTGGAAGCTAAGAGCCTCTCTCTGGGCTCTGGCCCAGCACGGTGACTCACCCAGGGGCCTAACCAGTCTTTCTCCCCTTTCCACGTGCATCTCTTACTTCCAACAGTGAAGCCCAAAGCTCACACTTCTTGGCTGCGCTTGTCCCGTGAGCTGCCCTGTAACCCCCCCCTCGTGGCAGAGAACCAAGCAGGAAGCTGTGATCCAAACTAAGGGCTACCCGTGGTCCGCAGGAGAGGGGCCCGCATGCTCTCTGGGGATGGGGCGCGGAGCTGGCTCTGAGACAGGCTCCCCGACTCTCCGGGGCAGGTCCTGCTTCACTCTACAAGCTGAGCACACCTGGGGGCACCAGGGGGCCGGCTGCCCCCCGAGACCAAACCGACTGTGCTGGAAACAGGCCGCTGTGATTTCTGAGGCTGAGTCGCAAAAGCACAACTTTTGCCCGGCCCCTGGTCCTCACGTGGTCGGCTCAGGGGGAGCCAGTTGCCGTGTCAGGAGGACACTGGCAGCGAAAGCTGGCCGTCCAGGCCCAGTCAGGCCTTTGGATGCCACAGCCCCTCTGCAGCCCCGAGCCACCAGCCCGCTGTGGCTGAAGGGACAGGGAGGGCAACTAAGGGCAGTGTCTGTCTCAGACCAGTGCTGGGATGGTTTGTTACTAACTGGTTACTCCGCAGTTACTGTAACTGATCCTCTGAACCTAAAGAACAGAAAACACACGGGGACAGCAAGACACTTCCTATTACATTGTTGGGGACGCTGCAAACCCTCCCCTCCAAGCAAACAGCAGCACAGACAGCTGACTTGTTCGGGGTCCAGCCGTGAGAAGCAGTAGCACCAGATTCCAACGTAGGCAGTGAGATTGCGTCCACACACTTCCAACGGGCAGGGGATGCTTCTGGAAGGCAGAGTCCCAAACATGCCAGCCAGGCCAGGCCTGACGACGTACTCCTTCTGTGTACTAGAGCTAATGGCTTTGTCTGGACCCGGCACCAATGCCCATCCTCTAGCACCTAACCGGCAGGCTCTCTACCCGCACTCCCACCAGAATAACCAGGGTCCCCAGAAGCCAGCACATAGATTGCCGTATCAGCCGTGATGCTTTTAAAAGCAGATTCCCAGGTCCCATGGCTGACCTGCTGATTCCATCACCGGGGCACGAGGTACATGTCCATCAAGGTGCAGCTCAGCACAGCTCAGATGTGCTCACTGGTGCGCAGGGTGAGGGCACTTGGAAAGCCACGGCCATGGGGGCCGTGGTCACATCAGGGCGCTTCCCTTCGTCCCTGCCCAGGCAGCGCCCAGGCCCTGGCAACGCCACCAGCCTCTGGCACTGTGGATCCGGCTTCCTTTTCTCTAGGCTCACGTGAGTAGAAACACCCGGCAGCTGCCTTGTGGCTCAGCACAACGTACACACCACCGTTCAGCCTGAAGGCACATCGACCTTCCACGGCGCGGAGGTCCCGGTCTGCCGACTCACCTGCCCATGGCGCCTGGCGACCATGCATGCTCGAGCACAAGTCTGTGCGAACGCAGTCTCTCACTCGGCAATCTATTTCAACCCCGAGGTTATGAAGTAGCCGGTCCCTGGGCTGCCTGAGTCTCTGATGTAAAAGTCCATCCCCAGGATTCCCTGCAGAGCTGCACCGACCCTTAGACACGCGTTTCTCAGGGCCTCACCACCACCACACCCCTGTCTGCAACGCTGGTGTCCGGGGTCCAGCTGGCCCCCTGCCCCAGACCCCGGGGCTCGGCAGGGACCCTGACGAGGGCTGACAGATGTGGCCTGGAGCTTCATTCCGACAGCTAGCGTCTTTATGACTCACGTTTACGACCTGCCCTTGTCCTTCCACGGTCACCCCAGGTCGGTCCCACCGCTGTCTGCTGGGCTCCCGGGACCCGAGGGTGAGCGTGGCCCTGGGCTCTCCTGAGGCTGGCGTGTTCTGACCTGCTGCTGGTCACCTGCCTGGGCTGTCAGTCTCTGGCTTGGACGCCCCAGAAGTGGGGTCCAAATGCATGACTCCATCACTCCCTGTGGGCCAGACTCCATACTAAGGAACATCAGCCGCAGCGGTTCAGGGGTCCTGCCACATGCCCACCCCACGAGAGCACCCAGTGCTGACCGTCTGCTTGGATGCTGCCCCGCTCGGCCCGCACGTCCCCAGCCTCTCCCCGGCCTCGATGGACACAGCAGGAGTGCGGTGGGGGAGGCGCAACTCAGGCTGCCGAGAGCGCCTAAAAACGGCTTAACTCTGGCCAGACAAGTGTAAGTCAGGCTCTGCACGTTTGCACACAGTCCAGCACTCTGTCAAGTTTTCCTTTTTAAATAGAACTCCATTCTTGCAAATGCAGCCCATGGGGTCTGATGCTCGCGGCGCCCGCCGGCCACCACCACCACCGTCCGTGTTCAAAACACACAGCACCGAGCTCTTCCGTAAAGTCAGGAAATGCATTTCATTGCACTTCCCCTTGAGGTCCTCTGCAGGACCTTATTGTAATGTAGCAGATGATGCTTCAGGGTCTAAGATTCTCTAACAGAAATCCGAACAAATACCCAAGCTTGCGTTTCTGCTGTAGGGCTGCAAGCTAAGCAGCTCCCCCTGCAAGCGAAGTACTTGGTGACGCTCCATCTTGATCATCTCCGTCTGCGCATCACCTCTGCTTATGACCGACCGTGCTCGGGGCATCGGGAACTCTGGGTGACGCCCCAGGATTAGAACCCGCAGCACTGGGGCGTGCTCGTCCGAGCTCCTACAGACAACGCTACACTGTGCCCACGCGGGTTTCACTCGTATCCGTTTCCCAACAGCATACCACACTTCCGTAGGTCAGAGTCCCCTGAGCCCAATCCGGGGTGTCACGGTATCACACAGTGATCTTCGTTTGCAGGTTCCTGATGACTATGAAGTGATAATAAATCCCATAAGGTGGGTTCTTAGAGTCTAGACCTCCATGTTACAGATGAAGAAACTGAGGCCCAGCGGCTTCAAGACCTGCCACTCAGGACAGGGAAGCCAGAGCCCAGCCCTTGGCCACAACGCTGCTCCCCGACGTGAGCGCCCGATACATGGAGAGGAGAAGGCCCAGCATGCAGCCCTTCACCCTGCCTAAAGGACACCGGGATGAGCCCCCAGCGCTCAGGCCCCCGAAGACGCCAACTGCTTACGAGGAGCCTGGAGGCAGAACAGCCAGCCCGTCCCCCTCCCACGGCACCTTCACGCTAATGCTTGGATGCTGTCGCCGAGGCAGCAAGGAAGCCTGGCCTGTCTCTAAGTCCCTTCATTAGATAGTAGGTCTAGGTTGTTCCAGAATCCTGCATCTGCACAACTTGATCCTGACGGTGAGATGGCTGCCTCCTGAGTTTGCACCCCTAGGCGAGCTGCAGGGGTCAGGGGACGAGCTGCATGCTCAGGCTCCTCAAAGTGGGGGTACAGTGTGGAGCCAGCCCCCCAGGCTAGAAGGCCCAGAACTGACTGCTGGCCAATCGACAGGGGCAGAGGGCCAGGCGGCTTGGCGAGGCTGAGCCGAAGTTGTTCACAGAGCAGCAAGGCGGCCTCACGTGGGAGCTTTGGCGCCACCGGCCACCGCAGGGACGCCGGCCCCGGGCCTCCAGCCCCCCAAGAAGCGGGACCCTCAGTGGTTCTGACACCCTGTCCCTCCCAGGGCTTCCGCTGCTGATTCCGAGCCCGCGGTTCCCGCCGCTGAGCTGTCTGTGGCTCAGGGCCATGAGGGGAAGTGAAGAAGCACCGTGGCGCAGCTCAGCACCGTCCTGAGCAGGGCCTGACCACTCTCAGACCCCAGGGGGGCACCTCTCGTTATGGCTGAACGGAGTCCCCCAAAAGCTATGGCGGGGTCTTAACCGCCAGCACCTGAGAATGCGGCTGTATGTGGAGACCAGGTCCTTAAAGAGGTGATGGCATTAGATGAGGTCATCGGGGTGGGCCGTAACGCAATCCGCCCGTGTCCCCAGGAGAGAGGTTAGGACACAGCCTCCCTCAGAGGCAGGCCATGTGAAGACACAGGCGGACACGTCATCTGCAAACAGGTTCTTCCCCCACAGCCCTCCGCAGGAGCCAACCCTGCCAAGCCCTTGATCTCCGACGTCAGCCTCCAAGCTGTGGGAATAAATGTCCGCCTGGCCCTTGGCGCTATGACCCGGCTGCCCCAGCGCAGTGATCCACCTCTTACAAATATTCAGACCTCGTTCCCAGTCCCGTAATTCGAGAAGCGTGCAGGCCCACTCCCACGTCCTGCTGTAAGCTTGGCGCTGCCGCCCAGGGCCTGCCCCAGGGCCTGCCGGTGAACTGCTGCCGGGCCTTCCCGAGCTCAAGGGCAGACCCGTCACAGACGCCCGCAGACCCTCTCTCCCCAGCACTGGCCCTATTGTCCCTCTTCGTCATGAACTAGCCGGTCCGGTGGTCTGACATTCAGATATCCTCCCAGGCAACCCCCCACCCTCCACCTTGGTGGAAACCCCCATATTTCCAACAAAAGCCTTTGCATGGGAACAGAAACCGAGGTCCACCATCCTCTACACCCTCAGTGGTGGCCGGTGACCGTGTGCGGACGGGCTGCCATTTCGTT